TAAAATGTAATTTATTCCTGTGATAAAAGCTACATTTTCAGCATCATTACTCCATTCTTCAGTGACATGATCCTTCAGAAATCATTCTAATATGCTGATTTGCTGCTCAAGAAACATTTCTGATTATTATTATTATTATCAATGTTTAAAACAGTTGAGTAAATTTTTTTCAAGATTCTTTGATGAATAGAAAGATCCAAAGATCAGCATTTATCTGAAATAAAAAGATTTCATAACATTATACACTATACCATTCATGGGGGGTAATCAATTCTGATCTTTGAATTGATCAGAAATGATGATAAAGGCATTTATAATGTTACAAAATATTTCTATTTCAGATAAATGCTGTTCTTCTGAACTTTCTATTCATAAAAAATGCCAGGGCCGATTTTTTTGTCCCAGTCCAGCCCTGGTGATGCTAAAACAATTTTAATGACATTGCTTGAAGACACCAGAAAAGCAACATTATATATGAAGAAGCTTGAATTTGCACACCTCTAGGGGGAAAAAAACTGAATTAAAACCCCCCCATCTGTTTCATTTAATAAACAAATGATCACATTGACCAGGTTACTGATTAACATAGCTGTGCTTACGACAAAAACGTGCTGCTTCTCTGATCAGAAATCACAAATTGAAATTGAATCGAATGCTTGAATGCTTCAAGACAAATGGGAGAAATTTTTAAATCACATTGCTTGAGTTTCCATAATATATTTAGTAATAAAGGGATAGTTTACCTACAAATGAAAGTTATTCACCCTCATGTTGTTTCAAACATGTTTGCACTTCTTTCTTCACAAAAGATAATTTGAAAAATGTGTTTTTGTTTTGTTTTGTGTTCCACAGTTGAACAAAAAGTCATAAAAGTATTGAACAATGTGAGGGTGACACTTCCCATCCCATTTAAAAAACCACCACAAATATTTTCAACTGAAATCATTTAAACCCCCCCCACTCCTGCTAGATGAAATCCCAGCAAGTTCAAACCTGGCTGGTAGTATATGTGTCATCAAAGATGAGCCAGTGAGACACAAACGATAAGATGAAAGTGAGAAGCCCAAACAGTCATGGCTGTATAACAATCATGACTCTACAGGAATCTCTTCTTGCTAATCTCTTCTTCTTCCTTCTGAATCAGATTTTTTTACAGTCACTCTGTCTCTTCGGTTCCATGATGTTGTTGTGACTTCTCGGGAATTCACCTTTTATGATTGCACAGCAGTCAAACAGCTTGCGGGAAGCATGCCGTGAGTTAAAAACACAGCACATATTGTGGGCACAAAAAAACTGAATTCTACACTTATTAAAGCCTCTGTCACATAAAAAAAAAATCCAGTGATGCATGGTCATTAAGTTTTATAATGAAGTGTAATTAACTTGGTTTTAAAATTTAAAACTAAGATGTATATTTTTATTTATATAAACTACCTCTAGGTAATGTGTTTGGATGCACTTTCTTTCATTTGCAGCTGCCATGGTTGTGTGCAGAGTCGCTGGGGATGCAACTGGTGTGTAAACCAGCATATGTGTACCCACAAGGCTGTGTGCGATAAGGGACTGATAATCTATAATGAACATGTAAGTCATTACATCATCAGCAGTGCCTTCTCTCTATGCTTTTGTTTTGATGTGTGGTGAAAATTACGTGTCTCAAACATTAGAACAGTGTTTCCTGCAGAATTATGTGAATAATTGGTAAACAAAACACATCTTACCAGTTTCTTCAAAGAACCAGGAGGCAGATTCACAAAACATTCTTAAGAATAAAATTATTCTTAATTGCTATGCATGTACTTCTTAAAGGGGTCATATGATGCGATTTCAATTTTTCCTTTCTCTTTGGAGTGTTACAAGCTCTTGGTGCATAAAGAAGATCTGTAAAGTTGCAAAGACTAAAGTCTCAAATCCAAAGAGATATTCTTTATAAAATTTAAGAGTCAGCCACACCTACCTAAAACGGCTCGTTCTAACACGCCCCCACATACCTACGTCACAATGTGGGAAGATTTGCATAATGCCGCCCAAATGTTCACGCAAAGAAAGAAGGTGTAACTTTTATTCTCGCTGTAGTATTGCTGATCCGTGCTGGTCGCTGAGGAAATACATCAACTTCGCGCTGTGGATCGCCGGAATAGTGTTCACTGTGGACCCGGGGTCGTCACATGTGTTTGCCGCAAGCCCGCCAGACGCTCCCTCGTCGAATCCGCCGGCCTTTCCGTCACACGCTTGAGGTATTCGGCCAATCACAACGCACTGGATAGCTGGCCAATCACAGCACACCTTGCTTTTCAGACCAATGAGCTTTGTAAAAATCGATGCGTTTCAGAAAGGCGGGGCATAGAGGAGAAACAATATTGTACAGTATGTGGAAAATGTGTTTTTGGAACCTTAAACCGCATAAACCCATTTCATTACACCAAATACACAAAATAATGTTCTTTTTAGCAACATCATATGACCCCTTTAAAGATGTTCTTATCTTTTTCTTCTCACACATTTTACATCATGAAGTGCTTACTAATTTAAAAATACCTTCATAGGCAGACAAATGTATTGCTATACAATCAGACAACAGTCTGACATTTGAGAATTTTTTAGATATTTGAAGAATAGAATTTGAAAACTTTTTGGTAATATTTTATATTTATTTAGAATTTTAAGAACTGCAGCTAGCAAAGAAAATGCAATAGAAAAAAACAAGCTGTCTATATTTTGTCTTGTCTTTATAATTTATTCATAGTAATTTGTCATGTTTTGGGAAATTGAAAATGTAATTGACTAAAATGCTAATTTATCAAAATTATGAGTAATTCCGGTAATTTGTTTAGTATACTTTTAAAAGAATAAAACACAAATTTCAGCTTGGTAAGGCTAACATGCACTGCAAACATAATTGTAAGTGGTCCACGTTTGCAGCAGCATTCTATTAGGAATATCACAGCTTGAGAATTCAAAGCCATGTTTCATAAATCAAAATAAATCATAACTAAACAGTTTTTGCAGTGTAAAAATATGGTTATGAAATAATTTTTTTTTAACCTGGGTATCAATTTGTAATGGTTCCTTTTATAACCATCTATCTTTATTTATTTTACTATTGTGCCTCTCTTGGTTTTCCCTGCACTTCTCACTCTTAGTGGAAATCTCTGCCCACCCTACCTCCTGCAACCAAAGCCTCTAGAGTTGCATTCACAACTGCACCAGTCACAACACACAAAGTCCCTGAAACCATGGCTCATACTAAACCTTCGACTACTGCCACGGCAATAACTGAAACTATAACTACTGTACTGGAATCATTAACCTCTTCTGCACCTCTGAAACCAACACCATCAACTAGGATTTCTTCCACTTTCAAGCCATCTGCTACGCCTACAAGTGCCTTTCTTCCCTCTTCCACAGCTGAGACCACAGTACAGCCAGCCTCCACACTCTCTCTGCTAGACGAGATCCTCTCAGAAAAAGAGCTTCTTGTTACAGATATTGAATCAGTGGCTCTGAGGGAGACAGACACTGATGTGGTTACTCTTGCAAGTTTGGCAGTGGTTGTAAAAACTGAGTTGCCATCAGTCATCGAAGCTGCTGAGGAGCAGAGGATTTCACTGCCATCATCATCGGCTGAAACCGAATTGCCACCACTAATGGAGCCAGTCACACATGATAGCTTGCTTACCAGCACCCCTCACAATTTGGCAGAAACACTGAATTTGATAAATGAAACCCAAACTACAGTTTTACCTTCAAATCCAGAACCAAACATGTTTGATTCTGAAACCAGTGACTTTTTGCCTGTTTCTGAGAGAGTGTCACCTGCCATGCCTTCAGAGAATAGGATAATCACTGACCGTCAAGAGGCTCATTTGGCTCCAGAGGAAGCTGAGGTGGATCAGGCAGAGAACGACAACGCAACATTTTCTGCAGCTACAGTCTTATCAGGGGATGGAGAATCAGACAGTGATCCCCCAGTATACCTCCATTTGCGAAGTACAGACATAGATGCTGATTACCAGTATGACTCAGCAGATTTACCGGTGAGTCCAAACATCTAGAACTGATACCAAGCCATAATTAAAAAACAAAACAAAACAAAGAAGAATATGTTTTTTTCTGTCATGCTTACAATGTAGGTTCTTAGTTTGGAATAACAAAGAAATCCTATAAATACTCTCATTATTTTTTGATTTACACTTGTATAATACACAGTACAACGTATACAGTATAGTAATTACATTACACAGTATAATAATATGATGACGAATATGTCCGGAGAAGCATAATTCATTGTTTTTATAGAGCTAATGAAACTGGAGATGGCTGCTTAGAAGCGTTCCATTAGCAATTTAAAATGGTTATTTTAAAATTCAATTTTTGTGTTTAATTAAGTGGATATCAAAGTGTAAGTGTTTTGAGCGTACTTTTAAATGACTGATTACAAGGAGTTTAGTATTTACTGTTACATAATAGCTAAATTTAGTCATTTGTTGTGTTAAATGATCAACTTTCTTTTTACTTTAACAGTCATTTTTATTTCTGCTAATAATGACAATTTGCTATATATATGTTTTTATATTAGTTTAAGTTTTTAAAATTTTAGGTTTATAAACTATTTGTTTAATTTTAAAGGGGTCATATGATGCGATTTTAACTTTTCCTTTCTCTTTGGAGTGTTACAAGCTGTTCGTGAATAGATAAGATCTCTAAAGTTGCAAAGACTATAGTCTCAAACCCAAAGAGATATTATTTATAAAAGTTGAGGCTCGTCTACGCCCTCCTAAAATGCCTCGTTTAAACACGCCCCCACATGTCTACGTCACTGTGTGGGAAGATTTGCATAACACCGCCCAAATGGTCACACACAGAAAGAAGGTGTAACTTTATTGTTGCTGCCACCGCCATTTTGTGAAGACGCCTTTGTAAAAATCGAGGTGTTTCAGAAAGGCGGGGCATAGAGGAGAAACAATAATGTACAGTATGTGGAAAATAATGTGTTTTTTGAACCTTAAACCACATAAACACATTTCATTACACCAAATACACAAAATAATGTTCTTTTTAGCAACATCATATGACCCCTTTAAAGCATTTTATTTCAGCAAGTTAAAGCATTAATTCAACGTTTTATTCTACAACAACAGAAAAGTTGGTAAAATTCTTGAACATTTACTATCTCCATCTTCGTGATATTTCTAGTTTTGTTTTGGCTTTAACATGTAGTTGAACGTTCTGAGTAAACATTGTAAATTAAATTATTAAATTAATTCAGATAATACACATTTCGTCATTTGGTCACATGCATTAATCTAATGGCAAATCAAATTATAACCCAGAAAGAAATGCAGAATTTAGTAGTAGAATGTATTAGAATTATTTTTTCTGCTTAAATTTTTTTGGTCATGTAAATCCTTTATCCCTTAAGTCCCTTTCTCCTACTCCTTTTCACTGGATGATGCGACACAATACTATAACATTCACTCTCATACATGCTTGTGTGTGTTAACATATAATTGAACTGTTTTTTAAAATCAGGCTGATGAAGGCACTTTTGTCAATTTGGGGGCATCTGCCTGCCCATGTGTGGAGAAGATTCAGGGATCCTCTCTGCTTCCTGTCCTAACTCAGAGAAAAATCTCTCTGCTGGCCCGCAACTTGCATCTCTATCAGGTAGAAATAAACAAACAAACACCCACTTCTTTCTGGATTTAAAAAAATATACATCTTCATTAAAAAAAAACCTGTTTAAACACACTTGTGCCTAGGATGAGCTGGCATACGAGTGTGTAATGGTGATTGAGGGGCAAACTGTGGTGGTTGATGCAGATGTGAAGCTGAATGAGGCACACACTTTGCTGTTTGACATCACCTGTCATGCTCACCAGGTACCACAACAATATAATTCAGAGCAGGATTTGTGAGTATTACCTGAGCATGTTATGAGGCCCTCATATTATACTCTAGTACAAAAAAGTGCACATTTTGAATATCTCCCTCATCTAACACACCTAATTCAGCTCATCTCATTAGTTGAGACTGCAAGACTCGGGCTATGTCTACACTTATAATGTTCGTTGTAAAGCATTATAACTTCTCATAAATAATTGTAACCAAACTTAAAATGCATTTGTAACCACACTTAAAATGCATGGTAGTATTTGTTTTTCATTTGTTTTAATTCAATATACTTTCTAAAGGTGTAGCAATGAATACCTACTGTAAGTATTATATAACGTATTATAACTGGGGTTACAATTATTCATGAGATCATACAATGCATTATAAGGTGCATAACAAGGCATAATTAATGCATTAAAACTGCTTTTATAATGCATTATAAAGGCTTTAAGTAAAGTGTTACCAATGTTTTGGTGGAAGAATAGTGTGAGAACTTTATTATGTCTGGTCTCCCAGTAATCATCTCAGTGAGCTATTATTACGTTTTATATCTGAGATGATTTTAGTGTTTTCTGACATTTCAGTGTGGATGAGAAATTTTGGAAAATACTCGAAAATGCTGGTGTGGGTGAAGAGCATTTTGAAATGACGTTTTGTAGATGTCGCTTTGAATTGTGTGTGACTAATGAGGAAGACATCCAAAATGTGCAGTGGTGGGGGTCCCTAGGACATGTTTGAGAAGCACTGCTCTAATATATACTGTATAGAGGTGTAGCCAGGCAGATAATGCACATGCTCCAAAATGTGTCTCGTCTCCCTGTTATTCACTTTAGTTTCCTGTTACTTCTCTATAGTGCTGTCTAAGTAAAGGCAAAAGCCCACAACAATAATTAAAGAAGAAAACAACAACTATGTAGTAGTTTTAAATGCATGTGTGTTCTGTGAGGAAAAACTGCAGTTTGCAAATATCATCGATACTCGCTCAACATTTCTTTTCTGTAGTATTTCTATGCAGACCCTGTTAGAGAGTATAATGCTATGGTGTATGTGAAGAGAAAAGACACTTTTCATATTGACAGCACTGACCTTTATGGTGAGTATAATTTTTTGATGGTCATGATGAGCAGTGTTTGTGCAAAATACACACATATAGAATTTTTAATTGCCTTATGAGCCCATTAAATACATAGCTATAGGGCCCTGGCACTTTCCATAAAAAAAAAAATAAAAATCTAAAAGGTTTTTAAACCTTTATATTGTATGCTTTTATATGGTTTAGTAGCAATAGTCATTAATTTAGTATACAAATGTAAATGTTAACTTCATCTAATGGGTTTAAATTAAGCTATCACTCAGTTGAGGCAAGCTGGTGTTAGAGAAAATATTAGAAATTAAAGAAAAATATTTGTTTGATCATTTTTTTCTTACAGTGACTTGCGTATAATAACTTAAATGGTTTAAATATGAAAAAAGATAATGGAATACCATTATTCATAAAAATTGCCTTTATTTTCTCGATTAATGTCTCCTGCTGTTGTCTCCCCTCTGTCCAGTTTAACTCTCATTTGTGGAAAGTGTAGTTTTTGGGCCTTTGGCCTGATAATCTGATTGTGTTTTTAGATTGCTAAATAAAACAATTCTTTGAAAATGTAGTTACTGAATCTCACTTTTATGTATGAATTTGAAGTCTATTTTGTCTGTATTGTAACTATGTTCTAACTGAGTTTCTTTGTGTTCTCTCTATTTCAGTGACGTTATATAACTGTTCAGTTGGGCACTTGGACTGTAGCCGCTGTCATACTGCAGATCAGAAGTACAATTGTGTGTGGTGTGGAGCCAGTTGTGTTTACAGAGAGTCCTGTTCCCAGCACATCGAAATGACCTGTCCTGCTCCTCTCATTCATTTGGTTTGTTAAATAGTCTCAAATTTGACTAATTGCATGATACTTTAGTATCTACTTTAGTAACTTTTTAAAACCCTTTAATGCAGAAGTCTAAAATTAATTTAGCTTTAGCATAGTATAACACTGACCCGCTTGTGATTGGATTGACTGAAACACATCCGAACCCTGTGTGTAAATGGGACCTCTATTCTTTTCTTTTCTCCATTCTGTTATTTCCCTCCTGACTCACTCTCTCTAAGAGAAACTTTCTGACCCTACAATTAACACACATACACCGTCTAAGGGAGGGAAACCTGTTTGCATATGTCTGTGTGTATGACTTACAATACATAATGCTGTACCATTCGGTACCTTCCAATGACATTATATTCATAAATATAAGAAATAAGTATAAATATAAGAAGAGTAGTAGAGTGTTATCAATGCCAGGGTTGAGGTTTCGATTCCCAGGGAATGCATGAACAGATTAAATGTATAACTTGAAAGTAATGTAAGTCACCTTGGATAAAATCCTCTTCCAAATATGTAAGTGTAAATGTAAATCTGTACCACCATATAAAAAAGATATCACTAAAGACTGGTTTTCTGTCCATAGGTGGAGCCTTTGTCAGGGTTGGTGGAAGGAGGCATTACTTTAACTGTTTCTGGGTCTAACTTGGGACAGAAAGCTCAGGATATCCTTCAATCTGTGACTGTTGCGGGTGTGCCCTGCACTGTTATACCACATCTATATGAAATATCCTCCAGGTAAACACCCATACATTGTGTGCAAACTTGTTTTTTTTTTTCTTGTTTTTTTCTTCTCAAATAACATTACACTTCCATCAAATGCACGTCAGACATTATATATCTGAATACATTCATATGTAAGCACATACACATCTACACTCACATTTACACGTATGTACATACCTATATGTGCCCATACAGATAGTGTGCAAACTAGTTTTAAGTACTGCCATTGACTAGATGACTGCAGGATTTGATGTGAATGCCTCAACTTGTACCTAAAGCACACTTAAGGAGTATAGTATAGAACTACTGTGTCCTGCACTTAAAGAGCATTGTTCTTTACAATATACAGTATTTGCAATTCACTTATTTCACTGATTAAATAATTTTAAGAAGTATTTGCCCATTTGCTTTGTTTCTGTGTGTCTTACACATTTGTTTATGCTTACTCTTTCTCTTTTAGAATTCTATGTACAACTACTGCAAGTGGAGAGGAGAAATCTGGTCACATCTCTGTGAAAGTGTCTGGTGGAGGCTTCGGCCTGTCAAGTCAGAGATTCAGCTACCAGGTTAACTTGTATTTACTAATAATTAGCAATATTATTATAAAAAGTTATTTACCATTTTTCATGTCTTTCCAAAAGAATATATGGTCTCATCCTCCATGGGACACAGAAGGGGAATAATCTGGCCACTGCACCCAAATATATCATAAAAGTGTTCCCTATAACTTGTAGTAACTTGAAGTCATCGGATAGCTTTGTGTGAGCAATCGACAATAATGACCATCGTTATGGCTTAAGAAGACTTTGAATATAGTGCATGTGTTGTATGGACTACTTGAATCTAATTTTTGTATTGTGCTTTTGTGTCTTTTTGAAGCTTGAACACTCCATTGCCCATATATATATAATATGAATAGTAATTTTGTACAGATAAATCACTTGCCCCTGTGCATAAAAGATGAGACTTTTGAAGCTAAAGTAGTTCTGTGGGATAAAGGTGAAGACAATATAGTTCATATTCAATTTCAGTGTGTAATGATACACTCTATACAAAACATGACTATATTGTGCTTTGACGCAACATAAAAGCGTGGCTCTAAGGTTGCACCACATTCTAATACATTGTGAATGACTAACATGATGTTGTACCCCCCCACACCCTCCCCCACACACACATCCACCTATCCCTCCATTTCCTGTTTTTCATCTGATTATTATGTGCGTTGGCATGTTGTTGTTGGTATTTGAAAATGGTTGTTGTGGAATTCCTTCTGGCTTGATGATTGCAAAAAACTGTAATTATTTAGTTCTTGAATGCAGAATTTTTTCTGATTGTATCTCTCAACCTTGCATCCTTTAAGGACCCGAAGCTGATAGAAGTTTCTCCTCAGAGAGGACCAAAGGCAGGAGGAACAACTCTGACAATCACAGGCAGAAAACTTTTGACCGGTCGTGTTACTGATATTAGTGTCCTACTAGGGAATGTGCCTTGTTCATTGTAAGTACTATGTATCACTGTGGAAAACTGTCTCCTGTAGATTGGTGTAATATGAGTATTGTCTGTGATTAGGAAGTTATTTTATGCCCTTTTTTTCCTCTGCAGAATATCAAGTGTTCAGGAGGAAACTATCAAGTGTCTGACTGGTGCTAGTAACAGGACAGGAGAACACAGAGTGACTGTGCGGTATGGAAACACTGAGCGACATCTCCATGGCAATGGCTATTACTATACCCCTGACCCAAACATTACACATGCCATACCCTCTAAGAGCTTTGTCGGGTGTGTGTTTGAGTTTACCTACCTTTATTTCATTTACATTTGTTTCTTTATCAGACGCTTTTATCCAAAGTAACTTAAAGTGACAAATAATACAACAAAGATCTTCAGGTGAACATGAAGTGTTGAAAATAAGAGTTTTAGCCATTGTTTTAACCAAGAGTACAGGTTAGAACCGGGTGGGAAATAAGAAATTTGTTTTGGGATCTATCATTGTAGTGTACTGTAGTATGAATGTCGGAGTGCAACAGCTTATTGAACAAAAAAAAAAAAGTATGATCATAGGGAACTTAGGGAGTTGATATTATTTATCAGTTACTGATTCGAAAGTGACCTGGCTGACCCTAAAATGTGCAAAAAAAACTCTGCAAGGCTGTATTTATGAACTTTTATTTTAAAACTTTCACTTAAAAAAAAAAAAAAAAAAAAAAAAAAACTACTTCTTTCTTCTCTTGAAAATCTTTAACATTCCTTCGTTTACACATTTATACAGTGGAGGGCGTGTAATTAGCGTTTTCGGCCAGAACTTGGATGTGGTCCAGAAGCCTCAGATGCGAGTTACAGTGGTCCTCCCAGACTCCATTTACCCCTTGAGTAGACGCAGACGAAGGAGAAAAAGGAGTGTAACAGATGTGGAAATGCAGGAAACAAACTGTACAGAAGACTGTTCTGTCATACAGGTTTGTTTTTTTATTTTTTTTATTTTAACCTTACCTAATAAACTTATACACTGAATTTTTTGTTTCCCCAGTTTTATACTCTGTTTCTAAACTATATTCACAGATTAGTAAACCATTCCAACACCTCTACACACAAATTTGAAGCCCATCTTCTCAATTTAGAAATTTTTCCCCACTGCTTCATTCATAAACTCACATGGACAATTGGTTGAGATTAAATTATTCATTGGAATATACGGTATAAACTATTAATTTTTATTTAAAAACCACTTATATACTATCTAATTTAATATCTGATATGACTATGGTAAGTGCATTGATTGCCGATTGTTACTTTAATGGTTCTGATGTTACTTTTATTGGCTATCACACATTTATTCTTTTATAGACTCTTTTATTTAGAGTGACCTTCAAGTGAGATTCAGAAATACTTTTAATGTTCTAAAGGAAATCTGTCTTGATTCACAATGGTTTTAAGATTGATCAAATAAAGACATTTTTGTCAATTTTTTAAAGACAGTTTTATTAAGATATTAGATTATAGTCTTTGGTGAACAGTCTCCATGGTTATGCATCATTTTGTGTAAAATACTTGGGTGACTGTCCACTTACACAGTGTTATCTCTTTCTCTTGTTTTCATTTTCTCTGTAGTTTGAGGAGGATTGCGAGGTGAAAACCTCTTCTCTGTTGTTGTGTCGGACTCCTGGTGTAGATGCTAAGGTAGTTGGTGGCCATATGCTGGTTGAGTTTCTGTTGGATAATTTGCGCTTTGACTTTAACTCTGTCAGCCAATCACCTTTCATCTATGAACCAAACCCAGTTCTGCACCCACTGAACCATCGTGATCCCACAAAACCATATCGTTACAAACCTGGATCAGTTATATCAGTGGAGGTTAGTGGGACTTTTGCTGATGTGTTTTTTATCTATTTATTTATTTATTTTACTTATTTTACTTGTCAAGTTTAAGAACTTAATTTTATGCTGCTGCTTTTAACTTTTTCTTGGACCCCTTTTCATTTCTTTCTACAGGGTGAGAATTTAGACTTGGCCATCTTTAAAGAGGAAGTAGTAGCACTGATTGGTGAAGGAGTTTGTACTGTTAAAACTTTGACACATAATCACCTTTATTGTGAGCCTCCACCCCAGCAGCCCCCTCTTTCCCTTAGGCACGGGCGCAAGCGAGAGGGAGCTGAGGCCTTTCCAGAATTTATAGTAAGGATGAAGCCAACACCCTCACAAACTGAGCTTTAAATTTCACTTACATCTTCTATTATGAAGTGGCTGTAATTTGCATTTTTTGTTGCAGATATTGTATTGCATGAACAGGGGTGTGTAATAGTGTGTCTGTCTGTTTCCAGGTTCATATGGGAAACTTGAACTTTTCACTGGGACAAGTGCAGTATGATTCTCCTAGTCACTCTATCTTTCCACTGGTGGCGCAGATTGGTGTTGGAGTGGTGGCTTCTCTTGTTGCTCTTATTGTGCTTATCATCGTGTTTATATACAGGTGTGTATGTAATATGTAATGTGAGAGAATGTGCTAAATACAGTGCTGTGAAAAAGTTAGTACCCTATGAAGAATATAGCTTTTTTTGAACGTATTTGGATTAGATTGGCATTTTACCAGTGTTAATGGATAAATAGCAATAGAATTTAAATAAATAAATAGCAATAGAATTTGATAATAAATTGCCCAGCGTAAATCGGAAAACACAGAATGCCCATTTCATGTTTGGAATGCTTACCTGCTAGCAATGAATAATGCAATAAATCAATATTGAAACATTTATAGACTGGTATATGAACTTAATTGATATTGTGTGCCCTCATGTCTCTTCCACTTAGGAGAAAGAGTAAACAGGCTCTGAGAGATTATAAGAAGGTTCAGATCCAGTTGGAGAATCTAGAGACCAGTGTGAGAGACCGTTGCAAAAAAGAGTTTACAGGTAATTTATGGCTACATTTAGGATGAGATCAAAGGATAGATTTGAATGATTTTAAATGGCTGGTTTTCCCAGAAATGAAAATTCTGTCCTCATTAATTTACCCTCATGCCATTCCAAACATTTAAAACCTTTGTTCATCTTCGGAAACACAAATGAAGATAATTGACATTCCCTTGATTGACATCATTTTTGTCTATCCATTGAATTCGACATTTGTGCTGCCGTTTACTATATTTCAAATGACATGAGGGTGTGTAAATGATGACCGAATTTTCATTTTTTTGTGGAACTAACCCTTTAAGTCTAAGAAAAGCTGTAAGCGAGGCCAAAATGTATTCCATCATTCATTCATAGTGGTAAATAAAAAGTAAATAAAATGATAGCATTTGGAATTGTTGGTCAAAATAGGGTCCACTTGTTCCACAGAATCTGAAGAGCTTAATTAATTTGAAATGTTCAATAAAGCTTCTTAAAAAGTTTAAACAAATCACAAATTATCCAGTGCAGTATTTCAGCCATCAGTTAAGTTTCTCAAACCGTTCCTCAAGAAAATCTGATCTTTAATAATCGTACAGTTGACTCTTAAACCTCCACAGATCTGATGACTGAAATGATGGATATGACAAGTGATCTGGTTGGATCAGGGATTCCTTTCTTGGAGTACCGCATGTATGCTGAACGCATCTTTTTCCCTGGGCACCGCGAGTCGCCACTTTGCAGAGACCTGGATGTGCAGGAGTGTCGACGGGCCACGGTGGAGCAAGGACTCATTCAGTTATCTAATCTCCTAAACAGCAAACTCTTCCTCACAAAGGTAGCTAAAATCCTTTTTTCCTCACTGTTGACCAAACACTCAAAGATGAGCAAACACTCTTAACACCTTGTGTATACCAGTTTGTTTGCTGCTTTAAAAAGGTTTTTTTTTTTTTGTGTCACTTTTACAGTTTATCCACACTCTTGAGAGCCAGAGGACATTTTCACCTAGAGACAGAGGATATGTGGCCTCTTTGCTCACTGTGGCTCTTCACAGTAAACTAGAGTACTTCACTGACATACTCAAAACACTGTTGAACGATCTGGTGGAACAGTATATTGCCAAGAACCCAAAACTCATGCTCCGGAGGTAAGGATGTTGCAGTAACTGACATTAGAAGTACTAATTTAATATTCATTGTTCTCAAGTGTCTGTATGACTGAGGCTTTTATTGTCTTCTCAGAACAGAGACGGTAGTTGAAAAGCTCCTGACAAACTGGATATCCATCTGCCTCTATGCTTTCTTAAGGGTGTGTATGAAAATTGGTAGAATTGTTTGGTTTCTAATATATAAATTTACCGTGGATAAAAAGAGATGCTTTGTAGTTTGCAGTTTAAAAAAAATGTGATTAGATGGTTAACAGTGTAAAATAATTGTCCAGGAATGTAATTAGCCTCTTAAAACATGAGGATGTCTTAATTAAGACTGCAGGATAGTTTAACACCGAGGTCCTTGAGGATCTGATGACAGTTGATAGAATTTTAAAATAATTTATGTGTGTTTTTAAGTAGATCATCCATATTGTATTGTGTAAATTATTATATTTCTGCTTCCTGTGTTTAGCATTCAGCTGGTGAGTCTCTGTACATGCTCTTCAGAGCAATTAAACACCAAGTGGATAAAGGACCTGTGGATGCAGTGACTGGCAAAGCCAAATACACCTTAAATGATAACCGTTTGCTGAGAGAGGATCTGGAATACCGCACTCTGGTTAGAATCTTTTAATCTCTTTATTATGACTTGAATCTCTTTATTATACCGTTTTAGTGCATTAGTCTAATTGGTTTCTGCCAAAAAGCTTTTGTAAAAAAAATGACTGAAACACTCCATCTTAGCTCACAGATTGTGTCCACTCTTACAAAATGTAAGCATCACATTTTTTGGTTACACTTTATTTTAAGGTGTGATTGTTAGTGTAAATACACTAGTAGGTAATGAGAAATATTAATTAGAAACATGTATTATAGACCTTAGTCAGGGTAGCGGCATATTTAATTTTGGACAGGAATGAAAATGTGGCTGTGAGGGATAGAAGTACAGTGTATTAAATAGATTCTACTGTTGTTGAACAACATACTGATTGTTCAGCTGATAAAATGAAAGTTGTCAGTTGGGAAAACTGTGTGATCTGGAATCTTCTGTAATGTTTGTGTCAATGTAAAGATCTGCGTTAAATTTAACATGGCATCTGACCTGACTAAGGTGTATAGGGTTAGAATTAGAATTTGGTTTAGGGTTATTTGCTTGTAATTATGACTAGTTTACTGTTATTACTGTAGTAAGTACATGTAACATGTATACTGAAGGATACTGTAAAATAAAGTGTTACCCAGTGTTTTTTTATTAAAGAGATTACATACACTGATGAGCCAAACTCATAGATAAAATGAATATTGTTAATAATCTTCTAAGAAGGTCACGTGAAGGTTGAAGTAATTTTTTAATGGTAAATGAACAATCAGTTTATTTAGTCAATGTGTTGGTGCAGGAGAAATGGGCAGGAATAAAGATCTGAGTGAGATCTGACAAGGGCCAAATTGTTGTGGAACAGCAAGACTTGTGAGGTGCTCCTGAGCAGAATTTACCAACAGTTGTCCGAGGAGGTGCAAACCACAAACTCCAAGGCTCTTTGATGGTAGAAGGTCCATGTGTCAACAATTTTAATGATGGGCCTGTGTAGATGCAGACTGTCCAGAGTGCCCATGATGATGACCCCTGTATACAGCCAAAAGACCCGAGAATGGGCACACAAGCAAAAGAACTGGACTTTGGGGCAGTGGAAGAAGGTTTTCTTTTGCATCACATTTACTTGGGGATGTAATGGGACCAGGATACACTGCAGGAAGATGACAAAGCTGGTTGAGGGACTGTGATGCTCTGGGCAATGTTCTGCTAGGAAACCCTGTTTCCAGCCATTCATATGGTGTCAATTTGACACATGCCACCTACCTAAACCTCATTGCAGACCAGGTGCACTTTTCATAGCAATAGCATTCCCTGATGGCAGTGGCCCCTTTTAACAGGATATTGCACCCTGCTACATTGCACACATTGTTCAGGAGTGGTTTAAAGAAGCGTAATGAAGAGTTAAAGTGATCTCCTGATCTCCAAATTCTTTAGATGTTAATCTGACTTTGCATCTGCGGCATGCGCTGGACCAACCAGTCCAATCCATGGTGGCTCAACCTCGCAACTTAAGGACATGAAGGATCTACTGCTAATGTCTCGGTGCCAGATACCACAGGACACCCTTAGGGGTCTTGTACAGTCCATGACTCGACAGGTCAGTGCTGTTTCAGCAGCACAAGGAGGGCCAACATCATTTTAGACTGGTGGTTGTAATGTTTTGGCTCATCAGTGTATTAATATAGAATTAACATTGTTCTCGCAGTAAGTTTCTCAACCCTGGGTTTCTGTCTTATGAGTATAATTGAAGGATGATTGTAGTACTCAGTGCAACTTATAACATCCAAGTGAAAGATATAACACCAACATGTCAGAAAAAAAAAAAAACAGAATCGGGGTTGGAAAAGGGATCACCCCCTTGTGTATTTTGTTGAACCACCTTTTGCTTTAATTACAGCCTTTAGTCTGTTGGGATATGTCTCTACAAACTTTGCACATCTAAACTTTGCAATATTTGCCCACTCTTCTTTTGCAGAACTGCTCAAGTTCAGTTAAATTTGATGGTGACCATTTGTGGACTGCAGTCTTCAAGTAATTCCACAGATTTTCATTGGGGTTTAAGTCTGGGCTCTGACTAGGCCATGCATTCTCCTTCAACCACTGTGTGGTCAGTTTTGCTGTGTGCTTTGGGCCATTGTCATGTTGGAAGGTAAACCTTCTTCCCATTGACAACTTTCTGGCAGAGGGCAGCAGATTTTCCTCAAGAATTTGATGGTATTTTGCCCCATCCTTTTTTCCTTCAATCCTGACAAGTGCTCCAGTCCCTGCTGCAGAGAAATCCATTTTTCCTTCTATCCTGACAAGTGCTCCAGTCCCTGCTGCAGAGAAACACCCCCATGACAGGATATTACCACCTCCATGCTTTACTGTAGTAGGAATGTTGTTATTTGGATGGTGAACTGTATTGGATTTCCGCGTTTGGTGTTGAGGCCAAATAATTCAATTTTAGTCTCATGTGGCCTCAGAATCTTCAAGGTGCGTTTTGGCAAAGCTCAGTCGTGACTGCATGTGGCCTTTCTTGAGGAGTGCCTTTTTTCTTGCAACCCTCCCATACAAGCCACATTTGTGGAAAATTTGTGATATTGTTGTCACATGCACACAATAAACACTCTTTGTCATAAAGTCCGGGAACTGCTTCAGTTGCTGTAGGCCTCTTGGTAGCCTCTCTGATCAGTCTCCTCCTGGCTCTTTCATCCAGTTTGGAGCGACGTCCTGATCCAGGGAGGGTCTGTGTTATACCAAATAACTTCCACGTCTTATTAATATACTTTACTGTGCTTCTAGACATTGATAAAGCCTTTGAAATGTTTTTGTATACATCTGCTGACTTGTGCCTGTCCACAACTTTATCCCGGAGATCTTTTGACAGTGCCTTGCCATCCATAGTTGATTCTTACCAAATGCTAAAGGGTTCAGATACTTCAGTATCATTGTTCAGCAAAACATTGCTGGTTTTATGGTGGAGGTGAAAGATGTGCTATTTAAACAGATTATGGTTCAGATCAGAAGCCATTGTCTTGAAGAGAATAGGAAAATCAACTGGGATATTTAAAATAAACAAATCAGTTTATAAGATTTATTACAGAATCATAGATGGATTTTTTTGTGCTTGTATAAAATGTAAATAATTAAAATGTGATTTTAAAATACTTAATTATTTCTCTTCTCTTTTTTTCACTTTAGACATTGAATGTCTTGATGCAAGGAATAGGTGTGAATGAGGCTCAGCCAGTTGCTGCCAAAGTTTTAGACTGTGACACTATAACCCAGGTGAAGGAGAAGATACTAGACCAGGTGTACAAGGGCACCTCATACTCTCATAGACCACATGCTGACTCTGTGGACCTGGGTGAGAACATTCATACATGTCTGCCCTCTCTTACCCATATCAACTGTCCTCTTTACGTCATAATCATTCATTCTTACATTCTTTGTTTGCTTCTTTTCAAACTTTATATGACTTTGACTTTACATGTGGTTTTCATTGTTCCTTGGGCATTTCCAGAATGGCGGTCTGGTGTAGCAGGTCACCTAATCCTCTCAGATGAAGATCTAACATCTGTGGTTCATGGCAACTGGAAACGCCTAAACACGCTCCAGCATTATAAGGTACAATGCAATCTTTAAAACGCACTGTGCTGTAAACCACTCAAGTCAAGTGCTTTACAAATAACAATGCCTTACAAATCTTCTTAGTGTGCAAGCCAATGGAAAAACTAAAGGTGCGGGCACATTTACAATTGCTCACTGTTGCAAAATTTTGTGAGCAAAATCCAGTAATTTCAGTAGAAATCAGTGCATTTAGGAATTTTGCATGAGGATAAAAATTTCCCAACACGTGTTTTTGCATTGGATTCAAGGTGGTCATGCAAATTTGATCAACAGAAATCCGCTTTGTTTAAAAGTGGAGGACCGAATAGGGACTATCCTCATTTGACTAGTGCATATTTAAACTAATGTACACATGCCAAATATTCCTTAGTTACATGATATATCATATAAAATATATATAACATTTTTAACTTCTATTCTTCATATATTTTTGGGATTTCAGGTTCCAGATGGAGCAAATGTAGCTTTGGTGCTGCGCCAAAGCAAACATATTCACCATGATACCCATGATTACTTTGCAGGGGAGAGTGAGTACACTATATCGCACGTAACTATGCAAAGTGTTCATGTTCACAGACACGCAACACACAGGGCTGTTTTTTATGATTGTTTAGACCAGTATTGTGTAAAAAAAAATTACAAATTAAAAGGGTACTGTGGTACTGACTATAGACTTCCTTCCACTGTAGAAAAGTGAAGTCAAAATATCCCAAGATAGCTGCTGCCATCTTTTGCTGATGATGTCATTTGAAGCCTGAGTCTGCATAGTATCAGTGTTCTGCATATACTATCGCAGATTCAATCACAAGCACACCCTCCTGAACTTTATGCAGGCTGGCTTCTCCAATTTTGATGTAAATGTGCTTCAGTCTCCTCCCGAAGCCCCCAAAAGAAGTCTGCTCTTGCCTTGTGATTACTTCACCCAGAGAAGCTGTCAATCATAGTCACACCCTATTTTTAAAGCATCAAATAACTAATTAAATCTTTAAAACTAACAATTGAACTTACATCAGCATGATAAGAACTATCTTAAAATGACAGAAACCACCTTTGGGCCTTTTTTTTTTTAAGGCTTGGCTCACCTCTCATTTGTTTACATGGAGAGGGCAGGGTTTATGACCTATACTGCAGCCAGCCACCAGGAGGTGATCTAAATGTTTTGGATTCACTTTTCTTGACATGTATAGTGTACAACAGGGCTGCCCAAACTCAGTCCTGGAGGGCTGGTGTCCTGCAGAGTTTAGCTCCAACTTGCCTCAACACACTTGCCTTTAAGTTTCTAGTATGCCTAGTAAGAGCTTGATTAGCTGGTTCAGGTGTGTTTAATTGGGGTTGGAGCTAAACTCTTCAGGACACTGGCCCTCCAGGACCGAGTTTGGGCAGCCCTGGTGTACAACATAGTGTGTCATGGCGCAGATCAGAAATATAAACAGTTGTTTGTCTTTAGTAACTGTAATAGGCAGCACGAAAAAATCTGTGTGTAAAATGTATAAAATGTTTTATTAAACATTGTGGTCTAAATCTGGGTAACTAACATTTTTATTCTGTGTTCTCTATTCAACACTTGAATATATTGCTTTATTTTATCGTCTTTCATTCTCCCTCCGCAGAGACGCCCATGCTAGAGGATGCAGATGAGGGAGGAGTGAGATTGTGGCATCTAGTGAAGGCCAGTGAGGAGCCAGAGTTACCCAAACACAGACGAGGCAGTTTAAAAGAACGAGAAAGAGCCAAGACAATACCAGAGATCTATCTCACGCGGCTACTGTCAATGAAGGTATCTTAAACGCACGTTCACACAGCCTAAAGAAATAGACAAAAGCATAAAGGAGAAGCCAAACTCATAACAGTTATGTACAACTCTTTCTAGTATGCATGGGTGATTTTAAAAAATGACCATACGCACACCTGTTTACTTGCTGTGTCTTTGTCTATCTGTAGGGTACACTGCAGAAGTTTGTGGATGATCTGTTCACAGTTATTCTAAGCACTAGTCAACCGGTTCCTCTGGCAATCAAATATTTCTTTGACTTGCTTGATGATCAGGCAGTGCGCCATGGCATTTCAGACTCTGAAACTATTCACATCTGGAAAACTAACAGGTACTAATTCATTTAGTGAACAATTTAACCATAAAAAATGCTAAAACACAATCCGAGAATAGTGGTGTTTTTCCAGTCGAGAAACTTGTGGGTTAATGCATGCCAACAAAAATAACTGTCATTGATTTAAATGTTTCTTTTTTCTTTGGTCACCTTTTTTATATTGACCTGTGATCAGTGATAAAGGGTCAGTAACACCCACCCCGCACCACC